ATTGATTATAGAAAGAGAAAACGTATTATTTGAGTCCAATGGCTGAGTTTCGAGTGTCTGAATCTCTCTTTTCTTTTTTTCTCTTTTGATAAGAGCACACATGGTGAACCACACGTCCGTCACGTAGTGTCTGGTCAGAGTAACCTTTGCCAATCGTTGGTATTGCCACAAGAGGAGTCAACAGGGGAAACTCAAGAGGTTTCTCTTGGAGGGGAGGGTATTGATGTCATGGTAGGAGGAGGAGTTGGTGATGAGGTGGACAAAGGAAGAGATGTCATGGAAGAAAGATTTCATCATGACGTGGACATAAGAAGGGTTGCCATGGAAGGAGTTGGTGAGCCAAGGATAAGAAGATCTGCAAGGATTATAGCCAAGCATAAGAAGGTCTGCAAGGATTAAGGCACTTAATCCTCACGTTAATGAAGATTGAAGACTTGGTCTTCGTAGCAGTTACTTGTTTCAGCAAAATAATGTCTACTGGATCATAAGACCAGCTATGTGACTTATCCCATTTAGCTATGTAGGAATCAGTGATTCCACCTTCTGTAATTTCCCTATTTACCAGTTAAAACAAATCTTGTGTTTCAAGCTTTATGTGTTTCTAAGATTACAAGCTTATTCTGGGTTATATGAACAGCCATTTCAGTTTCCGTGAATGGATAATCCGTGGATTCGGTTGAAGAAAATTCCCAAAAGTAATGGAGAAGCGTGAATTTCTAGAAGGTATGGGAAGCTTAGTCCCGCGGGTGTTATGGACAATTTGGAAGATAAAGAATCCGAGAGACCTTAGATATGTCTAATGAAAGCTCAGGAGGATTCTTTGCAATGGATAACTTTGAATTTGGAAAAAATATAGGGTCTAGCAATTGCGGTCAGGATCATTCCCTCGAGGTGAACTGGAGTAAACCAAGGAAAGGTATGACCAACTGCAATATTTCTTCTTCCTAGGTTAATACCGAGTCTTTGGTTGGTNGAGCTGGGATATTACGAGATGAGACCGGCAATGCATTATTACACGGTAGAGATGCGTTTAGAGCATCCACTTCAAGAATGGTGGCTGAGCTCAATCCCGGGGGTTTTATGGCGCAGCATCTTCATACACTCTTGGCCATTGGTCTTCATAACAATAAGGTAAAGAGTGTGTGTACCATTATTGTGGTCTTTATTTATTAAAAGAATTAATAAATAACTGTTTCTATTTCTTGAGAATTCTATTTCTTTTACAACTGTTTTTCGAGTGTTCTTTCTATTTAGGATTATATGTAATGAAACGTATTTTTCACAAATAATCTCGAAAAATAGGTCTAGCCAGTGTCTGTAAGGAAACGTATCTTTCAATATGTTTTGTGTTATTGTGTTCTTCTTTTCAAAATCTAATACTATTCTTCT